ACTTTTATTAAAAACATTATAACTATTCAAGAAACTGCCAAATGGTCAAATTTAAAATTTCTTCAAAATATTACTAATATTAAATGGTCTCTTTTATTTAAAATTATCTCCTCTTTTGAAGATAACTTACAAAAATACTCTTTTCACATTAAAATTCTCACCAATAACTTACCAACTATGCAAAACCTTAATATTCATTATTTCTATCTTTATATTACACCTTATTGCTCCCACTGTATGAACATTGAAGATACCCTTCATTTGTTTGCATGTTCTAGCAATATCATAAATATTCTATAATCACTTGAAAACACTATACATGACACTCTTCAATCACTCCAAATTACTAATACAACTTCAATGACTCTATTAAATATTCTTTTAAATTTCACACTTCATTTCTCAAATTCTTAATACAAATATATTTTATATATTATTACTGGATCTTATTCTACTACAATATATGAGAACATCAAAATACTTATCAATAAACAAACAGATACCTTTTTACTTCATCTCTCAAACAAACTACTTAATTGATGTCACCAAGATCTTTGGTTTATCCGTAATATATATCAACATTAATGGGAAAACTCTTGCAACATTGCGTCAAAATTCAAATGCACCAAGATCAGTTTATTAACCCTACCCAATTCTCCAAACCTATAAATACTAAACCCCTAATCACAAAATGGCTCTTACAGAGATACTCTCTAACAACTTGCATAATTTAATGTTCAGACAATCACTCGAAGGTTTCCTCCAACCTATCCTAGCTAGAACCTAATTTGAAATAGTTAGCTATAGCATAACATAGGAAATAAGGGGTGTAATGTCATATTGGGTGCCTAATTGTAGCACAAATGTAGTTTAGAAATTTTTAAATTTAGAACTTATGATTCTATATATAATAAAGTTTCTACTTGAGCATTATTTAATAAAAAATAAAAATAAAAAAATAAAAATATATATTTTTATAAATAAAAACTTTAGAAACTTCAATATATAAGACACCATTGCACCTGATCAAATGTACATCTTGGATCTAGGTCTCTTTAAGTACATGCTAGAATTTACTAATAAACTTTATATAAGCAATGTAAGAGCCAAATACTTCTAACCTTTGAACAGTGTTTATCTATGATTCCTTGATATTATGATCTTAAAATAATAAAGAACATATCAAATATAAATCACATAAGACTGATGAATTGCGAAATATAATAAAAATAATAATTTTTATTCTTGATAACCTATATGAGAGTTATAGAAGATCAGGAATTAGTAATAAATGACTATGCCAAGTTTATTACAAATTTCTTTAAATATATATTGCTAGCCATGAAGAATTATTACTTACAATTCATGTAATCTGCTTTAGGTATAGAATAAAAAACATCTTTTTAATAAATTCTGATTACTAACGATTAACTTTGTAGGCTTTTATTATGGATTAGACAAAAGAATTTGTTAAGATATTTTTAGCATATTCTTGAAGCAGTCTTTAATTACCTAAGCTTTATGCTTGGTGCTATCATATAATATCTGCAATTCAAGAATATGAATCAATAAATAGTATAATCACAGAAACTTATAAAACTCTTAATAAGAATTATATAAAAAAACTCTATTGCATGTCAAACAAAAAAGACTATATAAAACAAATATTAATGATGATATGTTTATAAATCTAGTAACTAATCATTATCTATCACTATGCACTAGTTAAATTATATTTTAATTAAATAATATATTGTAATATATAATAAAGTAATAACTTAATTACTAGAAATATATGTATTTAAATATATTTACTAGTAAATATATTTAAATAAATATATTATCTAGTAATTAAGTTATTACTTTATTATATATTACAATATATTATTTAATTAAAATATAATTTTAACCATGAATAATCATTATTTTAGGTTATTAGACAAAAATTAACTGAAAAAGAAGCCAAAAAAAAATATTACTAAGTAAAAGAGTTTGAGACCCTATATAGACTTTAAGTTTAGATAGGTCAAATAATTTTCTTGAAAACAACAAAAATAATCTGAACCCATTACAATTTAAGAGGTTTTAAAACTTTTAACCAGTCTTGATGAATTTTTTGAAGAGAAACCAATTTTGTCTTTTATCAATTTTAATCATATGCAGATATTTTCTTCAGCTTCATTAAAAAGTACAGACATAATTTGTGCTATTGCTAGTTTTTAAGAAAGTCTTATGTTTTCAAATATTATAGTTAATAGCTATAAAAATAATAAAGAAATAAATCAGTATAACTTGGTATATATTGAACAGTTGTTCAATTCAATTTTTTTATTAAAATTTGCCTAACAATAATAAATTATGATTATAAGCAAGTGATACTTTGAAAGTAATTAATAATATAAATATTATTTCAAGGTACTTCTTATATTTAAATTTTATCAAACAAACCAAGAGCCACTAGAGTTGACCTTAGTCTGTTAGTATAAAGAAGTTGGTAAATTATAGAGATGCCCTAAATTAAAATTACTTAAACATTATAGTTATATACTGTTAAATAGCATTGATAGAACAGTGCATATAGTTCTGAGATTTAATAAAATAAATGAATATTTATTAAATAGTTTCATTTTCTAATTTAAAAGTATATTGATATTTAAATGTATATTATGTATGTTATATTTCGATAGATAACAATAAGTCTATATATGTATTGATTTAAATAAAATTGAAAATAATTGATTTTTTGTTAATAATGATAAGTATCGATTTATATAATTTTGATCATAATTAAATTTTTATAAATAATGATATATACTGATTAAAATAAAATTGAATATAATTGATTTTTTGTAAATAACAATATATATAATTTCGATTATAATCGATTTTTTGTTAATATCCATCTATCAATATATATTAATTTTGATATATATCAATTTATAACTACCCTGCTGATATATATCATTATATTTTAATTAATATATATCAATTTTTTGATATATATCGATTAGTAACTATCCAAAAATTTTTCTGATGTTATTTTTTTTTGTTCTTGAGATAAAGGTTTAGTTTGAGTAAGATAATATAGTTTGATATTAATAATTCTGTAAGTATAGCTATAATAAATAAGTTAAGTTTTAAAAAGAATTACTGTAGTTTAATTTGGAAAATGTTTATTTTTTTAAGAAAGAACACAAGAAAAATTTTTAATATTGCATAATATATATGTATAAACAAGTTGAGAGTGAGAAATAATATCAGTTGGTATAGAATTGGTATTAAATAAAGAAAAAAGAATAGTTGAATTAGAAAATTGAGCTGAAAGTTATTTGACATAAAAGATGTAGATAAAGTATAACTAATTTTTTCAAAGTGTTTAGTAGAAATAATTAAAGAGGTTTGCATATTAGAAAGATCAAAAGTGGTAGTTTGAGTAATTTTATAGTAGCAAAAAGTAAAATTAGTATAAAATTAACTATATAAACATGTGTCAATAGTCAGTTAAATGGGAACTTTAAAGTAATATTGTTTTTTCTTAAGACTTTCATATTGATTAGAATTAATATCTGATAGAAGAACACAAAGTTTTCTTATTTTTATCAAGTTCATGATGATTTTTGTATTTAGAATAATAAGAATCTATATTATAGAAGTTTAGTTCAGTTGTTGTAAATGTAGACATTTAATTTTGTAAAAGTAGTGAGCAAATATAGGAGTTTTAGTATAAGGTATAGCTTAATATAGGTTTGTATAATTTTTTGTAATAAGGTATTACAAAATTATAGTTTATAATAAACTAGGATAGTAAATGTGTCTAAATACAAGTTACCAGTATAGCATAGTATTAGTACAAAATAGTTATAAATATTTTTTGTATAGACAAATTTTTAGTTAAAATTTGTATAAAAGATTTGCAGAAAGAGTTCATCTAATAAAGGATCTAAAATAATTCATAATTTTAAAAATCTTTGTAGTTCTGTTTTGTTTTTAGAAATAGTAAATTTGTTTATTTCCTTAATTTTAATAATATATTTTTAATTTTTTTATATACTACTTTACAATTTAATATAATTGTTTCTTAAATAAAAAAATTGCATTTAGATGATTAAATCTTTAGATTCCTTTTTTTTAAACATTTTAACATTTCTGTTAGTTTTAATTTGGTCTCAGATTTATTATTCAATAGTATAAAAAGTTATTTATATATATTATTATATAATCTAAGTATTTTAATATTTTATTCATTACTTTTATCAAATATACTAGTCTGTACTAATTCCAAATAATAAAATATATCAATAATATATTTCATATTCTATAAACATCTTTTCTGTATATTTTTTGAGTTTTTATATATTAATAATTGCCAATATACTGATTTTATGTTCATCATTATATAATACTTATATTTACTAACTTTTTGCAATATTTATTTAGAGTCTGATAATGGTTTTCTATATAGTTTCAGGTATTTATTTAAATTTCTATAGTCAATTGCTATTTATTGTTTATTATCATTACAGAACTTCTTCTTTAAGTATTTCTACTAAATATTATATTATTTTTAATTAAATCATCTTGTATTTTTTTTATTACTTTTTAATCTTTATTGTATTTGCATAGCAGTTGTTTTTTTTCTTATTAGCATTTCACTTTCTCTTATTTCTCCTTTCAAGTTTAATTCTATTAAAAGTATTTCTTTAGTGTTTATTCTTGTAGCATATTCTTGTTTTTCTCTAAAAATATCAACATATTTTATAAGAATATGATCAATTTGATCTCAAGTTCCAGGGCCTCCAGTCTTTTCATATTAATTCTTTAGAATCAGTATTCATTTTTTTTCTCTTTTAATTTGATCTTTTAGATCAAATAATTTTGTAAAAAAAATTTCATCATTTTTCTGTATTTTCTTAAAATTTTCAATATGTTGTCCCTTGTTAAATTTTATATTTCTATTTGATATATTTATTATTATTATATGATTATCATTTGCTATTTCTAATTAAATGATTATTTCTTTTTTAGTAGAGATTATAGAAGTCTCTACAGGGTTTTCTACCCTTATATGTCCTATATTTATAGAAGGTATCTCTGTATTTTTATTACAAAATACTTTATAATCTACTTGTTTTTCTTCTAATACAGTTGGTAAGATTATATGTTATATTTCTATTGGCATTTCTTTGAAATGTCTATACAGACTATCATTTTTATTATCTGTTTCTGTTATTTTATGCCCCTTGTTTGTTTCTTCTTTATTACTTTTATACTCATTAATGACTTTATAATTTTGTAATATTATTTCTAGTAAAGTATATTTGATATGCATTTTGTTATTATTTGTTTGTTAAATTACTATATCTGGCTACAGTGTATTGTATATTTTGTTTATTTCAAAGTATTTCTAGAATTCTAGTATTCTTATTTTCACATCTATACTGTATTAGGGATTTATTTATTTCTTTTTAATTATTATATCTATTTTTATAATAATTTTGAATATGATTTTCTATAATGTTATCTAATTTATTTATTTCTATTTCATCTTCTAATGTTATTTGTTTTTGTTTATATTTTTTAAAAAGTTTGCTTTTAATATCTTTATTTTTTTTCTATTTATCACTATTTGTTAATGATAAATATGTATAAGTTGATACAATTATTTTTTTTCATTTATATTTTACAGATGGTTTTTGAAGTTTTATTCTTCTTTATTTTCTAAAATTTATTTTATTCTTTAAATTAGAAGATATTTTTAATAAACTAGTTGTACTATTATTTCTTTTATAGGTTTTTTTAAAAATTAAATTTACAATATTCTTACTTACAAAGTCTTTTATTGAAGAACTTGGTCATGGTAATATTTTTGCTTAGTTTTTTAACCATTCATCTATATTTCTACTTTTAAAATTAAAGTCTTCCTCATTAGATGTTAATAATAATGGTTTTTCTTTGTAGATATTTTTCTTTTAGTATATATCTATTATAAATAACACTTTCTGTAAAAATGTTTTAGATTGTAATTTTTTTATTATTTATTTTTGGTTTTCTTTAAATCTTTTTTTTACTTCTTTATCATCATATTTTTTTTGTTTATCTAATGATAATGTTAATAATACTTTATATTTTTCTTAAAATTGTTTTTTTACTTTTTTACTTAAAAATTCTGATCCTATTAAGAAATTTCTTATTGCTATTTGTTGTTCCTATAGTTGCATTTAGTTAACTTTTTCTTTTGTTATATTTAATAATGCATATTTATTAAATTGATATTCTATGCCAATCACCTAACTCTTCTTGTAGATCAACCTTTTTCTAATAAACAATTCAACTTTTCTCAATATTTTACTAAACTAACAGCTCTTAAGCTTCTAATTAAACTTTTTTTTACAACTTTCTGTTCTAAAAACAATACAAATTTATTCATACTTAATTTTTTGATACAACAAACTTCTACATTTTAATAAAATTATCTTTATTTATATTCTTTTTAAATTTCTTTAATTTATAATTAATTAAACTCTTTTACTTCCAAGTAACTAAATATGCTAAACTTTCTGCTTCCAACTATAATAATTTTACCAAATTTTAACTATTATATTATATACCAACTAACATTTCTTTAAAAACCACACTTTCTTAATTTTTATTAAATTTTACTAAGTAACCTTATTCTCTATCATTAAAAAAAATATTCAGCTTATTAAGTTAATCATTTCAATATAAATTTCATCTTTAACAAACCAAAACTCATTAAGTTATCAATATTTCTCTTTAAACTTTTATTCAAACTTCTTTCTGAAATTCTATTGGTCAATTTCAAAAAATTTATAGGGGTGTCCTAGAAATTTCAATTTTTACCAATCTTGAAAATATCCAAATACCCATTATTTCTTCAAATTTTCTTAAAGAAACCTAAAAAATTTACTGACTCTTTGAAAAATTCACTACCAATTTTGAAAACCTCAATTTTCTTATTCAATTTTTATCCTTTTTACTTTACCTATATTATAAATACAATGCATATCATTAACTCTTTCTGATGATCACTTGTACTGAATTTCACACTAACAAAAACAGAAAACTTATTGAAGAAAATAGAAGAGGCTACTATATAAATAATAGTTTTTATAAAGGTCAAAGTGGTTCTACTACACTGAACTCCTTTAGATATTTAGCAAGCAAACTAAAAGCATACATATATAAGATTACTAGAAGAAGGCACCCTTGTATAACAAATTTTAGTAGAAGTCACGGCTTCTGTTAATGAAGTTAAAATAGTAGGCCTTATAGGAGAACAATAAGCAAGTTTTTAACACATTCACTAGAAATTCAAGAATACCTGCTAACTGAACACCACTACCATATTCCTCACTTGGTTTTTGATGAAAGTTTTTACAAGAAGTGAAAATTTAGCATCCTCCTATGAAAGATCTTCAGAAATCATCTATTTTGAGAATAGAAGAATTATCTCTTTTCTGGAATTAGGAGTAACTCTGATTGGAGTAAAAGGGTCAGCTGTAGAACTGATGAGGAAAAAATTAAACACTAACATCTCTATTATTAAATAATATTTACATATAGTATAGACCTATTTCTAGAATAGAAACTAAAAATAGCAGTACTATATAATTTTTACAATTTGCTTTGGCTGAGGCTTCAGTCCTCTTTTTGTTTTTTCTTTTTTTACTATTACATGTTTGTTTTGCTGTTTTGTTTTGCTTTGGTTTTTGTTTGTTTACTTTTGGTTTTTTTAGTTGTGTTCTTATTTGTATTCAATTTTATAATACCTCTCTTTTTTTGGCTCTTTGAGAAGAAGAAAGAATTTAAAAAAAGGATTGAAGACAGTTAATGCTCATCCCGGAAGAGAGAAATTCTTTTTGGTATGGCTTTAAGTAGTCAGATAAGCAGTCTACCTCTGATTAGGGTAGTACAGCAGGTTACACTTAGGTACCAATAGGGTGGCCAGATAATGCTAGACTTAGTTATTGGGAAAATTTTATGTAATTATTGTATATAGTTTCAAGAATCTTAATAAAGTACTAGCATAGCTGCATAAAAGCAAAAAAAAAAAAAAAAAAAAAAATTATAAATACTCTACCATACTATAAACTACTTAATAAATCTTTTTTATATTACTGTTTCAAGCTATTTACAACTTTAAATATCTTTTCATTATTATTGCTTATAATTTAAAAATGAATCTACAAACTATAACTTAACAAAATTATCTTTTAGACTGGTTTAAAAGCTATCTTATTTCAGAAAACTCTTTCTTATCTATACTTATAATATCTGGAATTCAAACATTAGATTTTTTAAAATCAATTCTCAAAGATTTCTATTCTGGTTCAATTATTAATTTTATAACAATTGACAAACTAGCTGTAAAAGTAATTTTAGCTTATTAATTCAAACTATAGTAACCAAAAAACCTAAATTTATTATAGACATAATCCTAAACAAAAATTCACATATTACTAAAGCAACCAAAATATCTTTCAAAATTCTTCTCAGTGCAACAAAAAACTAGCTTACCAAATTTGCTTATACTCTTTTTTATAAAACAAATTACAAACAACTTTTAAACTCACACTATTTTATTTCTTCTTATAAGCATCAAGAAGAACTAAAAAGAAGTGAGAAAAATTTCAAACTTAGGTATTCAATTAAAAAATAATTTCAAATTGCTATAATTTTGCCAGACTTTACCTATACCTATATAACAAATACCAAACTATTGATTATCAAAATTTCTTTCATGACTTACAACTTAAACCCATTTACTTAAAAACCTTTATATATATAAACCATATTTCAAATACTTTGAAAAGCAATACTTTTATGTTACAAATTTATAATACCTCTAAATTTTATATTAATATTACTATAAATATCTCTCTTTAAAAATTTAATATAAACTATCATATTTCACCTTTTTTTCACTTAATTAAACCACAATTTGACATCTGGTTTCAAATTTTTTTTATATATTACAAAAAACAATTTAGTAACATTAAAGAACAAAAAGTTTACAATTATATCAAATACCAAATAACTACAGCAACTAATAATAAATACAAAAAACTAATTCTTCAAAAACCTAAACTACCAACTATTTGATCCATTCAAGACTGAACAAACTATGTTATCAAAACAGCAATACACCATATATACACCTATACCAATCTGAAAAAATGTAAAGTACTTAATCCAAAAACAACTCATAATATTTATAATCTAACTTTCTACTACTTTAAACAATCCTTTAACACTATACCTATTTAATAATATAAATATTCACCTTTAAATCTTTTTACTTTCACATCAGCAATCTTCTATACATCCTTTTCTTTTAAAGAACTTTATAAACTAACTGACCAATCTGAACAAACCTTTATCTAACTAAACAATACATTTACTAATTCTAAATATATATCCTATAGTTCTAAGGTTGAGAATGATGATCTGGTACATCTGAGATGATCAGTAATATTAACACAGGTTACAGGTTCAGAGGGTTTAAAGTGAAACACCCAAGCAGGGATGTTAGGTATAGCAATTGGTGGGGAACCTTCGGGCGGACTTCTTAAATAGGTAATATAGAAAAGTTACATGTGTAGCCAATTGTACACTCTCCTGTAGTGGTTCATTGAACCACAATACTGATAAGTGATTAATAAAAGTCAAAAGACCAAAGAGGTCACCTTAATACCAAAAAAAACAAACATATATCCTATTTCTTTTACTGCTATCTTAAAGCTTACTTTAAATCTGTAGCAACAAACAATAAAATTATTAATCTCAATCTTAAAGAAGCATTAAACAAAATCTTCTCTTAAACGAATAATCCACAAATTTTAGTTAGAATTATTGCCTATTACAACATTACCCAAATCTCTAAATCAACTATTACTTAACTTAAAAAAAACCTTAACAAGTCATACTTCAATTAAGCAAACCAATATATTATCAAAAAACTTAATATTGTCATATCTACAGTATTAGAACCTAACTTTATCTATACTTCAATATATCTAAATCATCTATAAACTTGATAATAGCCTTTTTTTCTAACAATATCTATATATTTCTGTTAACTTTTTTTTATTTATTTACCTATCCAATCTCTATTACTTATCTTAGCTACACACTTACAATTCCATTAACTTTTCTTATCTATTTTCTTATTCAATCAACACTACTTTTTACTTTTTTAACTATACTTTATTTTCTTATTTAATTTATCTTATCTTTGGTTTCTTTTCTTTATAATAATGTAATTAAACTTCCAATAGTATAAATAGTTAGTGAAATCTATAAGTAGCT